AAGAAGTTTATTTTGAAAATAGGAGACTGGGGTTCAGACTACAGCAGCCTATACAGATTTGTGTTCTTATAAAGATCTGTTGCTCCTCTGGTCTCACTGAACGTTAGTGCCCGTGCCATAGGCAATTTAAAGGACATGGTATTGGAGGCCCCTGAGTATGGAAATCCAAGAGCAAATATGGTAGGGGAGCTAGATCTGCCATGATGAGATCACAGGGAAGGAAGGAACTGGCCAGAGCAACTGGGTTACAAAGTGCCTGACCAGTATAGCTAGAGCACACACAGCGGGGCTACAGTCCTTTGGAGTCAACAGAAATGTATGGATGGGATCAGGTTAAGGAAACGTTACAGTGAGGAGGCTGGAGTCTACAGGAACTAGTCCTGGAAATAGGAGCAGGCAAACTCACCAGGACAAGCATATTCCTCTCTTTTGTGCGGGGCTGTATCCCCACTATGCTGAAGAATATTTGGGATATAGTAGTGCTTGACAGTATTTGTTATATGAATGAATGAAATGAAAATACATCTGAAGCTGCCTTTTCCTTCCCTTCCAATGAGAGCACAGCTCCCTAGAACAGTAATAAAGCATGAATAAGAGAATTATGCATGTGGGAAGAAGTTAAATGTGTGTGTGAGTTGGGGAATACAAGAAGAATAAAACTTAAGAATTAATACATCTGGGGGCTGGGGATTTAGCTTAGCGGCAAAGTGCTTGCCTGGCAAGCGCAAGGTCATGAGTTCGATTCCTGGTACCGGAAGAAAAGACAAAAAAAAAAAAAAAAGAATTAATACATCTGATAAATTTTATACTAAGATAATTTCTCTTGATATTTCAAAAGAAAATAGCAATTTACTTTGACAAAGCAATTCATCTGAGAAGGAAAGTTTTCCCACACTCATAAGGATAGTTCCATAGACTTTGGTAGAGCTGGGTTCAACTCTGGTTCCAATTTACTTAACTAAATTACTTTGGACACATCAACCTTTCTAAGTTTTGAATTCCTTATCTGCCACTGCTTGCCAATTATATAAGCCCTTTACTTTCTATCTGTGATTTATTAAAAAGTTATGAACTTAAAAAAAAAAAACACTTATTGGGAAGAGAGAAGGAGATGTTGAATTTTAGTGCTAAAACTTGCTTTGGTGCCAAAACTTGAACTTAACTGACATGAACTTATTTATAATCACCTCTATCTATCTATCATCTCTTTAGTACATTAGTAAAAGACATTAACAGTATATCTACACCGACAAATCTTAGTGGCATGGCACAATCTAAGTTTATTTATCACTCACACATAGTAAAATACAAATGTAGAGGATTAGATTTAGGAGGCCCTGGCTTCCACTTTGTTATAAGGTTATCTGGCATATGTGACCTCACAATGTTTACAAATGGGGGAGAGAAGGAGGAAATAGTACTTCTATCCGTATTCCACTATTAAAACCTCAGTCTTGGCTCTATTTAATGGCAGCAGAGGATGGAAATGTGGCCCAGTGATGTGACCTTGAAAAGGGGCACAGGGACACTGCTATAGAATATGCTTATCATATTTTAGTCATCAAATATTACACATTTAATTATAGAAGGCCATAGACCCTGCTGGTCTATACATATATATTTACCTGTGGCTCTAAAATACAGAAGATTAAAAGAAAAAAATCTCAAGCGGCTCTGAGGATTTCACATTGGGGAGTTGGGGACATAACTTGGGGTGGGGACTTATTTGTACCTTACTGCAATCTGGGACCAGACTATCTGGGTTTGAATCCTGGGTTTATCCCTTTCTAATGGTGTGGCCATGGCAGGTTGCATAACTGCTCTATGCTTTTTCCCTTTGTTGTTTGCTAAAAAAAAGAGACAATAATAATACCTGGAAGGGTTAACTAAGAATTAAATGAATCAGTGCAACATCTAACTTAATAAATGGTAAATAAAACATATTCTTATGTAGCTATTACTATTGCTAATTACATTTTAAGCATTTCATATGGTAAATGCTTATTATAATTAGATGTAGAAGTCTTTCATAGCATCACAGAGTAATCTAGCTTTTGCTTGAATATGTTCAAAGGCAGAAGTTCACTGCTCAGTGTAATGACCAATATTGTTATTATCTTTGTTAGTAATTCCCCCAAGTAAGAACTGTTATAGTTAACATCTGATAAATACCGAGCCCATTCTCGGTGCCAGGCACAGAGCCAAGTCCTTTATTGAGACTCTTCCTGTTTTACTCTTACACAGCCTTGTGAAGCTGCCTTTCTTGCTGCTTTAATTAGGCGATATAAAGACAGGGGCCCAAAGGATTTAAATACTCAGCCCCTGAGTCTCCCAGCCACTGGATGGCAAATGGAGATTAGATCCAGTCATATTTAAACCCAGGGCCCCTCCAGACTCATTCCTTCTGCCCTTCAGGATCAAGTAAATTAAATAGAAACTTTCCATTTCCCTTTATCTTAAAATCAGGGTGGTCTCCCTGCTGTACCTCCCAGTTTGCTGTTGCTACTCAAAATACATTCTCTACCTTATCATTTTTGTTTTCTAGAAACTTTAGACGTAGCTAATCAATTTAGAAAAATAACTGCAACCCACTAGTTTCAAATTTGATTCTGACTCAACATTTATTAATTTAGCCACTAGTTTGCTTTTAAAAGGAAGACACTGTACCAATATGTACATCATGCATAACCATTCCAACTAATTTCCTAAATAACAATCAGCATTCATTATAATTACTGGTATTTTACATAAATATTATAAAAGCAACATTATGCATAATCTCACATTATTAACATCAGACTCAATTTACATGCAAATGGAATATAAGGTATTACAGAAAATTGATGGTATGTTTCTGGTACATAAGTTATTTCAAGTAATGAAATCACTAGTACTTTTTACCTTTCTTATCTTCCTGAACTAGCTCTAAGTGTTTTTTATGTTTTAATCAGGTGAAGTAGAACTCTGACTTCTAGATTATAGCTAAATGGAGGGTGTGCTGGAATTAATCTTGTAGGTAAAGTACAATGAATACTAATGGAAATTCTCCTAGGGTGGTCTAAGCTGCCACCAAGGGAGAAACATTACAGGAGAGTGGTATTTAGAGCAACCTTACCATGTTCCCCCTGCCCCCAACTGCTGCTTCCTGCTCTGGGATAAACCCACCCACCCTGTTCTCACTTCTTAGCTCAGACCACCTCAGCTATGCCCCCCCCACCCTTGTCTTGTCAGTGATAACTTGGTCATGTTATGCAAGATGACATCATCTTTAGGTCCCACCATTCCCTGTGCTGGAGGGCAGAGAATGTGGCACTTTGCTACTTTGCTGTGCCTGGATATTTAGCACTCTGGGACCCCTGACCTGATGAAATCTCAAGATCCTCCTTGTTTCCTTTTTCATACAGCTCATGTACCCAGAGAGCAGACCAAGTTATCTGTCCCCTCCTGAACATGACAGACTTTTATAATTCTACAGAGTTCATTTGAAATACATTTTGTATTTGGCTCCAAAACCTTTACCACAGTTCAGCATTTATCAGTTCCTCTCTGGAGTCTCAGAATAAATAGCTGCTACACGACTCCATGTTTTCAGGAACATAACTCAAATATATGATCAAACCTGCTGACATTTCCTTAGCATTCCTTATATCCTACAAGGCAGTCCAGCCTCCTGTTTGCAGCATGTCAAGTCCTAGCCTCTGCCTCCTTCCTCACCTTCCCTCCTGGGTCTTGCATCAGTGATCAATCATCCAGATGTTTTCCCAATGCAGACTCTCCCTTTCTAGGCCTGGTATGCTCGGCTGGTCCTCTGCCTTATGTTCCTAGTGATTCCTATTCTGATCTTTATTATCTTCAAGAGATTCTGCTGTTTCCTTCAGGGTCCATCCTTTTGGCTACCAGTACTTTCTCCTTGCTGGTCCCATTACATAACTGAAATTTCTGCCCATGTTAAAGCTGCATGCTCCAAAAAGCTCTCAAGTTGCCTTATTTCCACTCAGTCCATCCACCCATCCATTCATCCATCCATCCACCCACCCATTCATCCATCCATCCACCCAACCATCCATCCATCCACCCAAACATCCATCCATCCATCCATCCACCCACCCATCCATCCAAAAACAGAATTACAAAGTACAACAATGGACAAAATTACTGCCCAGAGTTGAAGCACAACCATTTAGGATATAAGCAAATAGGTGAGATACACACTGTAACTATAGTTTTAACAAAAATAAAAGTTCCAGTCTTCAGAGCTTTTCACAGTTAGTGTTTGGCTTATTCCCCTAACACTTAGATTTAAATATATTACTACTTGTGACCTGCTAGGTACCATATGAGTCATGTGAAAGACTCCCTCATACACACACACACACACACACACACACACACACACACACCTAGGGAACATGTCTCATTATATATAAATAGGCTATCTGACTATCCAGGACATACTTCATCTTACTAGATGCTCATACGTAGTATCTCATGAACAAATTTACGTGTTTTCTCTATAGATAACTCCAAGTTTATAACTTAAGAAGACATTTCCTTGTATGTACATCAGGCTGGTGAATATAGAATATTTTTATGTTTAATTTCTTGCCTGCCTCCACCATTATCTGAAGCTTCCACATCTGGGTTTTGACTATATTATCTCTGTATTTCTAAGGCCTACTACCATGACTGGCCCATAATAGGAGTCAGTGACTGTTAGTTAAATCATTTGCCTTCTGAAATTGTTCTCATATAGCTGAAGAAAGCCTCATACGAACAGAGCAAAAACTACTAGAAAATAAACCAAGTAAGTTGTAATTTGTACTTCTTTTGAGAGATAAGCACAGCTTCTTGGAAATTCAATGAGGAAAAGAAAGCGTTCTTGGGCTTTTTTTCCTCGCTTAGAAAGGATCAAATCACCAAAGCTTATTTTCCCACTAAAAGACTAAAATCCTTTTCAGAGTGTCTTAAGCCAAGCAATATAAAAAGAGTACAGAACTTACCTCAAAACTCACAGCTCCATTGTGGTCTGTATCGAATGCATTGAACAGAAAATGTGCATACGTTGTAGAGTCTGAAAGGTTGAAAAGGGAATATCATTAAGTCAGTGTGCTGATAGCCTACATAAGGTCTAAGCCTCTCTTTATTCAGGAAAATTAATTTGCTCTCTTTAGCTTATGCTTTCTTCTCAGCTTCCCAGTGTCTCTTGGTAGAAGAGTACAATTTGATACTCATGAGAATCACACACAGAGGCCACTGGTGACAGACATTCTCTGGGAGTTTCTGGCTGGAAATTCTCTGAACATATGCGAGTCTTGGGTATTGATAACAGCACAGGACTAAATAAGGCTCCATAGACGGGTGTGAGGGTTCAGTGAGACTTCTGGAAACTGCTTAGTGCGTGGCAAAGACTCTAGAAATAAAGTAGTAAGAATACAAAGCATGAGACCTAGCTGAGTTGCTATTATTAGTACTTTCATCATTTTTACAACTCAGAAAAAGACACTGGGGCTCTGAGAGGTTGAGAAATGTGCACAAAGTGACACAGGCAACAGAAAGTGGATGTGAGACAAGAATGCTCTGAGGTTAACTTTCAGCCAGTCAAGTTGGCTAATGGATGCGCACAGCAGAGACGGGAAGGTTGGGTGGCCTGCTTGGAAGAGGACTTCCTTCCTTTGCTATCTTGTAAAATGTCGACTGTCTGTTAATATTTTCCTCCTTTTATTTTTAAAATTAAAAAAAAAAAGAGGACTTCCTTGTCCTCAGTCACTCATAGTGGTGGTGCAGTTGCGCCCACAAGGAGACCTTAGCCTTTCCGGTCCGAGGTGAGTGCAAGACCTGGGCAATGGTGGATAAGCTCGGGAAGCTCTCCGTTCCCGTGCCCGTCCAGTTCCTGCTCCTCGTTTGCTTCTCCTTTCTCCTTTCTCCTTCCTCCCTCTTCTCCTGTTTCTCCATTGTTTCTTAATCTTTGAGCTGTTTTCCGCCTTTTCATTTTAAAAGTGGAATTTTCCTTACTGTTTTCTTTTCCTCGTGCCCAGCTTTCATTTTTAAGTGCTTTTGTGTTTGACCCTTGATCAAATTTACACAGTTATTGTAAATGTTCCATCTCATGGGTTTTAGCTTTTTGTCTTAACCTTTTTTCATGTTGAAAAATTGTAACCTTTCAGCTCATTGGCTCCAGCCTTTTATCTTCTGTTTAAAATCTGATCTATTTCTATTTTATGACTTTTCGCTTTTATTTTTACTGGGATTTAACATATGCTCTGTTCACTTTTGATTTTATGAATTGCTTTTAAAGTGCTGTCAAGAAACTAAATCAGAGTAGCAGTACAGAACTGCCTTTCCCAAAGAAAAGAGGGAACAGACCTTCCAGGTTCCTGGCTCCTTCCTCTTGCCCTGTCAAAGGTAGCAGCATTACTCTGCTCCTTTAAAAATTTTCACTTCCTGCCAAAGAAATCCAACCTCCTCTCTGGGCTCTCCAGGCTCATAATCTACTAAGGGATTATTTTTCCTGGTGGTTAACACTATTGAAGATCACACATTCAATGAGGTAGACTGCGTACTCATTTTCTCAAAATGATAGTGGTCTTCTCTCATCTCTTACCTTTATTTTATTTTATTTTATTTTTTGGTTTTTCTCTGGTACCGGGAACTGAACTCATGACCTTGCGCTTGCCAGGCAGGCGCTTTTGCCGCTGAGCTAAATCCCCAGCCCCTCATCTCTTACCTTTAAATGCGATAGGCAGAACAACTTATTTTCAGAAGAGATCAACCATGTCCAGGGTGACATGGGTCATAGACAAGAACCAATTATTTTCCAACATATGAATTATTAACATTTGTTTTCAATGAAATAACTAGGCAAAAAGATTGAGTCTAAATAATATGTAAAACCATTTTGTCTAGGCTGTAGGTCCACATAGTATTGATGAATTGCAGGAAGAAATTCTTTTGGGTGTGAAACGGAGGGTCTCAATGCAATTGAATTAGTGCTATTGGTTGGAAGTTCCACTGTACAGTAATCAAGAATTGGCAGCCTATTTTTATTTGCAAAGTTATTCTGTTCTTAACAGTACATTTTCACAAAGTTATGAAAGCATTCAGTATTCTGTGAAGATGTGAGCTGGTAGGTGATATGTTAAATTTATTTTCAAGGGAGAAAAAGAGAAATTTTGCAGATTTTATAATGAGCATCATTAAGTAGGTCTCTTGTTACCCTGTTTATACAATCAGTGTAGAAGTCTTTACCCTCACTGACAAAACTCACCGTGAACGACAGCCTTGAGCAAGTGTTTGTAATTTCTTAAAAAGGAAAAACAAGGTGACATAGTCATATGATAATTTCTTCTCAAATGAGATTTCTCTAGTTTTAAAGCTTGATGCGTGGCAACGACATGCTCAAGGTTTACACTAACGTTGTCCAGTGGGCTTCTTGTTCTTCTCAGTGGACCTGGCAATTCTCGTAGAAGTGATGCCAGATTTTAGCCAAGATTTATCATGCAGAGAACTTTATTAATAGTGTAGTGAAGTCAAACTGACTAAATTCAAACTGTAGTTTTACTAAAGATTAACTGCATGACCTTGAGTAAGCTGTTTAATGGCTCCGTGACTCAGTTTCCCTATCTATGAAATGATCATAATATCAGTATGTATATCATAGAGATATTATGCAGTTCAAATGAATTTCCATATATATGCAAAGTGTTTAGAAGTGTTGTCATCTACTAAATATTCAACAAATATTGAATTTTCATTCTTTCAGGAACCCTAGCCATTGTTATTTCAACTATCTTTAAAAACTGTGCTCCTTAGGAGAGAAAGGGGAAGAGGATTAAAAAAAGAAACAAACTATATTATGTACATGGACCCACTCCCCATGACTGTGCACTGCATGTACTGCAAACATATACTAATCAGCAACAACAACAAAAACAATGAAAGTGTGGTCCAATCTTCTACAGATGTAACATTTTTTCACCAACAAAGTTCTTGTTTTTGAAACTCTCTGCTTTGTGTCTAGATGGCTGGATTTCTAATTTGATGCAATTTCATGCTCAGTAAAGGCCAGTAGAATTATGTCATGAGAAGTAATGAGCCTTCTCATGGAGCTTGGATTTCTTCTGGCAGGGAATATTAACTTTTTAAAGAAAGGCAGTGATGCTACCAACTTTGATTGGGCAAGAAGAAGGAGCTCTGGGACTGGAATTCCAGCTGTGCACAAAGGTAAGTATAGTGCAGAGAAGAGAAATTGCAGATAAGTTTCTATGGTTTTGGTATAACTCACTCCAAAAATTGTTAGCTATTGTCCTAGAATAATAAAGATATTGGATGGGTGTTTTTAAAAATATACTTTATCTTTATGGACAAAAAAATCTAAAAATCTAGTAAATATTTTCTAAAAGTATGTATAACTGGTTTCCTGGATTCTTTATTTCAGCACAGTTGGCATCTTAAAAATAAAGTGATGAGATTTCTCCTCCCTATATGACAAAACAGTCTTTTATGATCAAATTTCCTTGCATCACAAAAATAATCATTTAGACTGATGTGCCAACATTGCCTTGCTTTCCTATAATTTTACCCATGAAGGTGAAATGCTAAAATTTTATAGTTGGGTAACAAAATTTATATATATTTAGGATGGGACGAGATTCTTGGTATCAGCAAAATATCCAGTTAACAAAGGTAGGAAATCGGTGCAGGTATTTTCAGAAAGTTAAGGTCATCACCTAGGTTCTAGGTTCTCAGGCATTTTCAGAAAGTTAAGGTCATCACCTAGGTTCTCAGGATAAAGTTAGGCATGAGATGAAAACATTCCAGTGTCAACACTTTAAAGAGGGTTAGAGTAGACAGAATATTGAACATTCTTGTTCTGATTCCCACATTTTACAGATGAGCCTGAGATCCAAAAACTAAATCACTTGAGGTAACATGCCTATATAGTGGCAGCCTGTCCATAAACTTAGGACTCCTGCGTTAGCCCAGAGTTCTTAACCCAATTATTTCTGGATGACGGTGTTTATGTCAACTAACTCTTCAATGATGACACCACCCCAGCTTTATGAAATGAAATTACTCTGGTTGAGTTCCTGCTTACTACCCCAAACTCTACTCTCACCTGAATTCAAACACAAGGTAGAGAATTAGCTTAAAGTATCTGAATATGCAATTCATGGTGTTCTCCCCATGGTTAGTCAGGTTCACTGCATAAATGGTAGCTTTTTAAATAGGTTATCTAGGGCCCAGGGTGTAGACGTAGCTTGATAATAAAACATGTGCTTAGCTTGTTTGATCTCCAGTGTGCACACACAAACACACACAGTATAACTCACTCTGAAAATTGTTAGCTATTATCCTAGAACAATAAAGATACTGGATGGGTGTTTTTAAAAATGTATTTTAATCTTTATGGACACAAAATCATTCTAAGTTTCTTAATTATCTTGTGCACAACCTTGCTCAATGACTGTTGACATATTCTTTTGACTTGAACCTGTTCATTCATTCATTGATTCATTCATCCTCTGTTAATTTGGTACCTAGTATATACAAAGTAGAAAATTCCTACAACACAAACAAGAATAGCTCAGGGAACTGAATTTTATGGCCATTTGAAGTGACTTAAGAGTTCATATCGTAGCACCAGGCATGATGGAGCATGCCTGTAATCACACCACTTAGGAGGCTGAGGCAAGAGGATCGCTGTGAGTTTGAGGCCAGCCTGCACTATATAAAAAGACTTTGGCTCAAAAACAGAAAGAGTTTATAGGTTAAATCTTCTACTATAAGTAGAGTTGAAAAAGTAACCATATAGGCAACAATACGAAGTGTTTTCCTCTGCTCTTCCTTTATGGCAGGAATACTGACTGCCCTGCAAACAAGATGTTTCTATCCAGCCTAGACATGTTGTGCATGCTCCACTGTCTCATTAAATACAGCTGAGCTTGATATAGTAAAAATCTCACAGGGCATTTGTCCATAAGACAAATAATTTTCATGGTGGAAATTGTGAAATGTGACTGACCCACCCTTCCTTCTTTCTGCTAATGATGAGAGAAACCTGTTGCTTTCAGACCTTCAACCTGAGCAAATGATGCCTGCATGGAAGACCTATAACAACAGCTACAGCAGGACTTTGCCTTCCATCTGATATTATTTTCTTTGCTAGCATCACTGTAAGATACAGTATGCATGCAAAATATTAATTTTTAAAAATTTAAGTCATCATTCTTTAAAATACCTCATTCCCTTCAATGATACCTGGGTACTCTGAGATTTATGTATTCAATTGACATGAATGATCAGAGAATTTTTAAGAGAACAAAAATGGTTTTTCTTAATTCCCTTTGGACTTTGTAATCAGAATCCTTTGCAAAGTAGATGATCTGTACTTAAGTGTTCTCTAATGTAGAAATAATTATTTCACAAATACAGGTGAAATTTTAACGTGAAAATAGACATAACTTGTATTATTTAATAACTTTACTGGACATACGAAATATAACTTAAAGGTATGCATATGTGTTGGTGCTTTGATATCAATACTGATTAATATGTTGGCATTCAGATAGTGAACATGATTTTTATCAAAACATTACATAGATTTTTAAATAATTTAGAAATATATGAGGCAATTAAATGATACACAAATCAATCATTTATTATGCAAACAATAACCCATTAGCCTAGCATCAGGTGCTATAATCGATATCTGCCTGTGGTGTATTAGAACTTTCTCTGTGAACTGTAGCAATGAGAAAGGGTGGGCAGATTAATCCACCGAGTGTAAAGTGGAACGATGTTGGAAAGTGTAACCTGGTCAGAGGAGGTGGGTCACTGGAGGGCTGGCCTGAAAGGTTCATCTCCCTTTCTCCTCCCTTGCTCCATCTCTCTCTGCTTCTTGTTTCTATTTTTTTTTTTTTCTTCCGGTACCACAAATCAAACTCACGACCTTGCAATTGCCAGGCAGGCACTGTGCCACTGAGCTAAATCCCCAGCCCTCTCTCTGCTTCTTGACTGCTCTGTCATGAGTTATTTCTCCTCTACCGGGCACTCCACTCTGGAGTCAGCTCACTATGGACTGAAATCTCTACAAACTATGAACCAAAATACACCTCTCCATCCATAAGTTGTGGGTGTTGCATATTTTGTCCCAGCAAGAGGATAGTAACTAAGATACCATGTTTGGAGAAGAGGTGTAAAAATCAGAGAGATCAGTTGAGAAATTATGGAGTTACTTTGCCAAATGATGATGGTAGTTCTTTTATGTGAAGAGCAGTTTCAAAGAATGTTGGCAAAGTCAGTGCCAAAGTACATTCTGGAACAACCACAGGAAAAAGTGATAGCTGCCTCCTTTGTTGAGTAGAGGTCAAAGCTGAAAAGATAGACTAGTAGCTGCTCCCTTTCAATTCCAAGTAAAGCCTCTTCCTCAGCTCCTGATTCATGGCCTTCCTCTGTCATCTCTCATCATTTTCTCTTACAGATTTGTATTTTGTTATTCATGTTCTCCCTCTTCACAATCTCCTCTGTATGCAAACAAATTCCAGTCTTTCCCATTTTAAACCCTTCCACTTGTATCTGCATAGCATTCCAATCTGCTTCCACCTCATCCCTTCACTTTCCTAGCTGAGTTTCCTATCAGGGCCCTTTCTACTGGTATCCTTATTGTCTTACTTTCCATTTACTCTTTTGCCCTCTGTCATCTGGCTTCTGTCTGCGACCTACACTCCACTAGTAAAGCTGCCCTGATCACACTCAACAGTAACTTCCGTGTTGCCACATTCCCGGGATACCTTCCTATCCTTACCTTCCTATCCTTACCTTCCTGGACTTCTTGGCTACAGAGCTTATTGCCTTTATCCTCCTTATTTCTAAACTATCAGTCCCCTGGGACTTATTCCCCCATCTTTTTCATAGATTCCTTTATCCTCTCACATCCTTAACATGTGCTCTAAACTTGCATGTTTGACTCATGGGACTCCACAATTTTATACTCTTCCCAGTATCCTCACCCAGGTCATGGATTTAAGCATCATGTCACAGTTAATAATGCCCAGATCTGTGTCATTTTCCCTGACTTTTCTTCATTCTTAGATTCATATCAATCTGTTATTGATGCCAAATGGTCACAAGCATCCCAAGTATAATTTGTTCCAAACTTTCATCACTATCTCCCTATTCCTCTTATAACTAAGTGCCCTTGATAGAATTCTGGAAGTCATCACACACTCCAGTTTCCATCACAGAAACTGAATCACTCATCAAACTCTGCCATTTTTTATCTTGCAGATATACCTGCAATTCTACTTCTGCCCCAACTTTTCCATTGCTACTATGTGTTTCCTGGTTACACACATTGTTTTGCTTTTTGCAATACCCTCTTCATTAGTCATTTTGCCTGTAGTATGCCTACCTTAAATTAATCTCCACATAGCTATTAGTAGAATGTATCTAAAACAGAAATCTGATTAACAACTCCTATTTAAATGAATATGTGGTTTTGGATCATCTCAATAATGCAAATTCTCATTTTATTACATGGCATTCACGATTCTTTAGGACACTTCACCCAAATCCTGTCAGTTTCCTGCGAATATCCACCTTCATTTTTGTGTGCACATTCTGGGTTACAGTCCATTTGCCTAGGGTGCCCCTAGTGCCTTATAAAGCTGGAAGCTAGCAGACTTAGCAGTGAAGTGTCTCCCAGAAAGCATGAGGATGCAGTGGAATGCTACATGCTTTAGAAATGGACTGATCTCTCCTTCCTTAGTTTCTATATTTAAGAAAATGGAAAGCCATAGCTAGGGTTGTTGGGTTGTGATGAGGTAAGGCATGCTAGGTATGTATTAGAAACTCCAGAATGCTTATCCATTTCAGCTCAGGTTCAATTTACTTGGATAGCCTCTTTTTGATTTCTTTCCTGTCCTCGAGTTTGTTGAAATATGCCTACACCAGGCTCTCCTAATACAATTTTGAAATCCTCATCTACGCACTTTTGTGTAAACATTGTCCTTTTGTTGCACTAGACTTTGAGGGCAAAGACCACATTTACTCCTTCCTTACCACATTTACTCCTTACTCATTTCTCTTCCATTAGCAGCACCTTGCACCTGGCGGGGCACAGTTGGCTGGGTGACACATTAGATATTGGGATTTGTTGGATGACTGGTAGAAAAATGTAAGATCTAATATCACCGCTCCATTCATCTCTAAGCCATATATGCCATTGTTATGCTATCCTTGTATTTTCTTTCCAATTAAAATAATTTCTTAGAGTATGTTAGTTTTCTCCTATGGGGAGTTTATAGTAAAGAGTTACTGAAAGGGAAAGGAGACAGCAGAAAGTACATTAGACAAAGCTACAGAAAAATCTAGGTTATAACCCAGATCTGCCACTGAGTAGATGTGTGACTGACCCTGAACAAACTATTTAACTTCTGTAAGCCCCAGATTTCACATCTGCAAGCTGAGGATAATTATGTATGCCCTAATTTTGAAAGTAGGGAGAATTAAATGGGACCTGTAATGGAAGTGAAAAAAAAAAAAAAACTTGAACCATTTTGAGGACCCCTGTAAAATTCAGAAAACATTGTGCATTGGAGAGCCATTGTACTAGACACACAGTAATACTTGTATTAGACTGAAAAATAAACTCTTAGATATTTGATACTTTGTAAGTAGCTCACTTTTATGACACACTGAAACATCTATGTACTTGCATAGTATATATTAATTCTTTTGCATAAAGATTTAATATGTACAGTCATGCCATGAAAGATTAACGAAACTCAAGATTGCAAGCATAATTCTGACTCCAGGAGCATGTTAACAAGTCCAAATTTGTACTCACCTCCCTGTGGAAAGAACTGCGAGTAAATCTCTTTGAAGGTTTCTTCATTAACAACACCACTGGGACATTCCTAGAGGAAGTGGCAGAGAAGCAATATCAGCAAAGTGTTCATAAAACTGACTTTTTTGCACATTTTGAAACAGAACTCTCTGCCATGCAAAGCTGCATCAAGCAAGTTAACTATCCATCCATTATTACAAAGACAATAAAAGCACACTGTAAACTTGTGCTTGTTCCAGATCTCACAGAAAAAAAAAAAAAAACAGTATTCAAGGTGCCAATGTCTTTATATATTGAGCATCAAATCTGGTCTGACATATTTTAAAAAGCACAATGAAAAAGAACATTCACTTTTATTATCAATGAAGTCTGAAGAAACTGCATTGCATTGTTTTTCATATTTCCAGGGTATTACATGATGTTTGTCATGTTGTTTGCTGACTCTTACTTCTATATTCTGTTGTGATTTTCTGGACTCACACAATCTTCAGGGCAATAAGAACATAGTGTGCTCCATTTGGGTTGAAGGTGGCTGTTATGGCTTGTATCTAGATGTCCCTCCAAAGCCTCATGTGGTCATAGGTGGGCCTTCTCATAGGTGGCTGGATCTAGGATGTGTGAATATGGTTTAAGGGTGTGTTGTATCTGGATTAGTCCTTTAATTGGATTAGCATAGTTCTGAGTGGATTTCCTAACAGGGAAGCTTCACTGGGTGGAGTTGGCACCAATCATTAGGCTTGTAGACTGCATGGAGTGTAAAGGAACAGAAAGAACACAGACTCACTGTCTTATGCCTTCCCTTCCATGGACTGTTTCTCTTCTGTATGTCCCTCTGCAGTGCCACTGTGCCTTGGAGCCACTTACCATGGACTGAAACATCTACAAACTGTGGGCCAAAATAAACCTTTCCTCCTTTAATTTATAGGTGTTCAATATTTTATCCCAGCAATGAGACAAGTAACTAAGACCATCTCTCAGGAAACTTTAACCAGGAATAGTTAGAAATACCAAGTTCTTCTTAACAGGTAAGCAATGACATGCCTTTATAACAAGTAACCTTGGATGAGATAGGACCTGAAGAATTTTCAGCTTTTGGAAGGGAGAATCTGCAAAGGAATAAATCTGACCTGAGCTTAATGAATTTCTACCTTTGTCCCATTGGAGGAGCTGTAGAATAATTTACACTAGCCAGATGAACACAGCTTTCTCAATAATGTTATTTTATTAATTTGATCTTTCTTTATTTTGATGAGCCCATTACTCACCTGTGATGTGCACCACATAATGAATTTTCTGTTTTTTCCCCTATATTCATTTTGAAAGGTGGGACCTTTGATGTATAAACAACTTTAATCCATATTTTCAATGTGCATTTGGATTTATAGAGCTCATCAATATATTTTTTTCCCATTTGATTGTTAAAATAAACCTGTGATTTAGGTGACCAAAATATCTCATTCACATAAGAAGAACTAGAAGTGCTGAGTGTGAAAGCACTTGGTTACTCAGCAAGACAAGAAGGGGACTAGAGTGGAAAGATGATTTGGGACTTTCTAGTACACTACAGGATTGTGTAGTAAATGACCCTTGTGGAAAAAATGATCATTCCTATAATGTTTGATACACCATGTCAACTTGAAAACTGAGAAGTTTAGAAGCCTAACTGAGTGTTTGGCAGGGGCCAGGGTCCTCACTTTGTAAACATCCCGAGCTTGTGCAAGAGGAGGGCATGGAAATGGTGTGGGTGGAGAGCCGGAGTACAATATATAGGAGAGAAAGAGGCTTGCTTCCCCCACCCCCGTTTACTCTTGCTGCTTTTGCTGTCTTATGGTGCCTTGAACTGTTGCCCCTGTGTCATGCCACCCTGCCTTGGCGTCAGCTGATCACTGACTGAAACCTCCACAAACTGTGAGCTAAGCAACCCTTTCCGTCCTTAATTTTGGGTGTCAGGTATTTTGTCTACACAGTGAGAGAAAAGTAACCAAGGCAACTCCAAAGACCTAAGAGGACTGTAGCAAAGAAAATTCAACTGAACACAAGTGCGCCAAAAAGGAAGCAAGCAAGCAAACTGTGAGGGTTAAATTAATGTGCTAACTTGCTGGGCCTTAGGTTAAAAGTATTTAGTCACACATTTTTCTGGATATTTCTGGGAAGACCTTTACACATGAGGTTCCTGTTTAAATTGGTGAACTTTGAGTAAAGCAAATTCCGTCTAAAATGTTTGTGGAACTAATGTAGTCAGCTGAAACTTGCAACAGAGTGAAGGCTGAATTCCTTGTACAAGAAGGAATTCTCCATCATGCTACCTTCAGACTTTATCTCTGACATGGGCTTAGGTCTCCTTAACCTGCCGATTGCTTTGAACTTTAACTGCAGTCACTCTTGACTGTCCAAGCTGCTGGTATCCTCCATCAGATTTTATACAGGCCAAACTGCCACAATGTGTAAAGCAGTTCCTCAAATCTCTCTCTCATAAATATATATTTTTTCTCTAGAGAATCCTGACCAATATATACATGAATTAACAAACAACAGTTACAACTTTCAAAGGGAAATAAAGTAATATGTATTCAGCTAATTGTGTAAAAGTTTTGATTTAATGACTATTGGTAGCAACAGACTGATTATAACAGCAAATAAACACGTTGTAGTTGGAGCCTCTTATAAATGGAAATTGTGATTTATTGGTTATATTAAACATTGAGCCATCTGCTTGGGATAGTAAAGAAAGAGAAAGTGTGTGGCTCTGTGCCATCAGGTGGTAAATTTGTGCAAAGTCAGACCTGGAAACTGCCTCAAGTTAAATTAGTGACAATGACATATGGGGGTGGGAAGTAAAAGGACATCCACATTTAAGAAATTTGTCAGTTACTTTTGGTCTGGAGACATGTTTGTAGGTAAGTCTTATCATGTGAAATGATATTTAGAAATTGACTATCGCATATGTGTTTGTTTTGCCTTATCACAAGTTTATATCAGGAGAAATCACTTTTCTGCCAAATAAACACTAGTCAAGTCTCAGGGTGGTAAACCTTACCAGGTAAATTTGTCTTTAACCCTCTCACATTCATTACATTCACTTTTACTTATAGCAAATACACAGTGTATGACACTTATTTTAGGAAAATGAAACCCAGAGGGGCAAATATTAAGTTCTGTAGTTCTATGTCTGGCATTTGTGGCATATTTTGAGATGTGAGGTCTTGCGGCATATGGTGAGATTTGAGGTCTTGGGTTATCCTGCTCCTGTATCTTTGCCATTTGTAGCCTGTGGCCTCTTCCTGGAGCTGGCTCTACTCCCTGCCTGTGATTCTCATCAAAAGACATTGCGTGTTACTGGCATCTTGTTGTGCTTTGGGGTTTTGCAAGGAGAACAGTACAATGCAGGACACATATTTTATAAGATTATGATAGTCACCCAAAGAATCATATAAAAAGAGAGTACATGAAATCTGTCCACACACTAAAGACCAAAGAATCCAGCTGAAGGCCTGGATCCCATGGTAATGTCCTGCATGAGTTCAGCTGAAGACCTAGAGCCCATAAAAATGCCCCCCCCCATGAGTACAACTGGAAGCCAAGAGCCCACCACAATGTCTCATGCAAGCCTGTTTCATGGATCTGAGTTGGGAAGGCCCAAAGGTTAGTGGTAAAAGCTAGAAAGTCTATGCCAGCAGGACAAAGATCTGTGTTAGCAGGCTGAGGGATCTGAACTGGAGCCAGGAAGTGAGGCTCAAAGCAAGAGCCAGACCTCCCACAAAAAGTACCACAGCCAATCTCAACAACTGTGAGGTCCTGAGTTCCTCCAATGATGAGGAAAGCAGAGTTCCCATCAGGAAAGCCAGCACAACAGGCTTCTCCAGGAGACTGAGCAGTGCACCATCTTCCCCTCTGGAGCCAGGAAGGGGTGCTTAAAGTGAGGACCAGAGCTTCTCCAAAGTGAACTGTAGCCATTCTCAGTGACCATGAGGTCCTGAGCTCTTCCTCTGATGAGAACAGCCAAGTTCATTAGGAAAGCCAGCATGACAAAGTCCTCCAGCTGAATAGCCCAAGAGAATCGGCAGCTCCTTAACAGCTTCCCAACAGCTTCTACCACCTCCCAACAGCCTCTCTTCTTCTTCTCCAGTGCTGCCTCTTATAGTGATGGCAACAATCCTCAGGTGAGCCTCCCACACCCAGCACGACGCTGGTTCAGTTCAGCTGGGTGCTACAAGATGACCACCAGTTGTCAATCCACCACACATCTCTAACATCCTGGGGGGTCTCTTCTGAACCTTCAGCTTCACTCCTACAGTTTTATATAATCACCCCTCATAGACATATTGCCTAAATTCCTAGCCTTCCTTTGAAATCTGAGTGGAAGCCTCCCCTGACCCCACAACTCTTGCATTCTGCATACCTTGAACAACAATCATCATGCAGACAGCGCCAAAGTCTGCTGCCAGTTTCAGCAGTAAAGAGCCCACCCTTGGGTAATTTCATTGTACACAGCAGTCTCTGAGTACATAGATGGCTGTGTACAATGAAATGAATCATTGGGAACCAATTTCTAGATGACCTTTATGGAACAGGAAGCCAAAGGCTTTTTTCTCAAATGAAAGGTGTGTATTTTTGTACCCTTCAGCCTGCAAATGGGTAGGATCTTCCCAATTTCTAAGCCATGCTCAGGGCCCCCTTCTTACTGTTCTGCTTCAAAGTATTTGGCATCTTTTTATGGTACTAATCTCTTAAGCAAATGAGTCTCTTTTGCCTCAACACTATGCATGTTTTTTTCAGGTCAAAAATCAAGTTTTTGAGTCTTTCTGCTAGACTTTTTTCTCTCAATTTTCACTATAAATCTTGCTAAAAGTAGCCAACAATACCCACACCACAGTCTGAATTTTGGGCTGCCTTGAAGCTTTCTCTGCCAGATCAATTAGTCTACCATTCTTAAATTCAGCCTCTTACAAAGTCTTAGGACATGAGGAAAATATAGGCATCTTTTTTCCTAGAGTGTATTATGCGTAGACTCTAGACCTATTTCTGGTAGTGTCCTCATTCTTAATTGAAGCTTCATGAGCCTCAGGTCTT